CCTTAAACTGAGCCTTGAAAGCAGCAGTTCTTTGGGAGTAGGATAAAAAGAACAGAGCAATTCCATATTAGATTTTTAATCCCACCTCCTTTCACCATCAGGCCTTCACTCTCATCACCCAAACTCTGGCACTTTCATATGTTTGCCCAGAAATCACTGGATGCATGCTGTCATTTGGTGAAAAGTGTGAGGAAAATTCTACCCAACTACTTTAAAAGTAACAACAATCCCTTATAAAAGTATCCTATTTGAAATGGGGAAACTGGCTTCAGTATGGAGAAAGTCTGTTCAGAATATGGTCAATTCTCTCTCCAGCCCATCTGTTGAGCAGCATCTCCTTTGAGAGAATCTTCACCATAAGTCTGATTTCAGTAACAGATCGAGAGAGAACGGCCATTTAGGCATATATACTCACAGATCTGCTTCAGCAAAATAGCTACTTCTTTTGTTTTGGTGCTGCATTTTTACTAATTGCTCGTTATTGAGTAAGAATTGCAAGATAAAGCTAACTCTGTTCAGTAGTTTTTGTTCTTTAAGTTGCTTTGCCTGCTGCACTGGATTTGTGTATTACAATGAATTTAACTACATATTGCTAGTATCAATTTGGAAATTGGGATGTGTTTTATATAGATACTCACGACATTTAGCAACTGCAATTGGTTTGAAAGTCTCGTAATCAAGAATTTTTAGGTTTGGAATTACCATGCAGATGGGTCCTGCAACAGAAGACAGCAGCACCTCTTGGCTTTCTGCCTGGTAGGATATTCAAAAGCTACTCCAGACCATACTGTATGCATGTATGCTGTGCTATCCTTACCTCACATACAGAACCATAACAACATTACGGCAAAGCTTAAAAGTAGGTTTGATAACAAACACGTACGTGGTCAATTCTTCAATTCCCTACACATTCCATAGTGAGTTTGGAAAAAACATAAAATTACCCATTAGAATCTTACATTAAAATCCAGTACCAAGAAATAGCATAGTCTTCAAAACTTTTTACTCCAATTGATCTTGCATCCAGGATATTACTGATGCTGCTGAGAAAAGACAAGACTGCTAATAGCAGAGAAGCAGAAAACAGCTCAGTGAAGCAAAAGGAGGACTTCTTGGAGTTGTTTTCCTATCCTGCAAAGTGCTTGCCCATATTAACGTTTCCTAAGAAGAAATGAAGAATCATCTTGTCAAAGAACAAACAATGTAGTTGTAGATGCCAGAAGAAGGAAACTTCCTAAGGTGCGGGTGCTAGCACTGCTGGGAAGGTGCTAGAATGCGGCAGCCTCAGATCCAGAGGTAAGAAAAGGTACCCCTGTGCTCCAGACAGGCTGAGGATGGAGAGTAGCTGGTTGCTACCCAGCATTGGAGATGCTTGCTGTCCATCTGCAAGGGAGGTGCTGTCTGGCATCAGAGCCCAGGACGTTGCCTTTTGAACTTCAGACGTGTGCTAAAACAGGAGCATGCTGATGAGGTGAGATGCAAAAGTACTAGGACAATCCACAGTACTAGGAAGGCTGCTGTAGGAAGGAAGAGCTGAGGCCATCACTGGCTGGCCCGAGTCCTGCTGCATGAAGACTTCAATTTGAACCTCCTTTAACTTCCCTTGCTATTAATTTTGGCTAGGAAAACCAAGTGGAATGTTTTCAAAACTGACAGTCATTCTGAGGAACACTAAAGCTTTTGGCTCCTTGCTCATTTCTGCATAACACAGTGCTGGTTTTCCCTACTGGAACTTTGCAAGTGCTCAGGCACAGAAACCATCGACCAGGAAGTCTCGTCCGGGTACCCTCAGCCATTTGATACAACAGATTCTGATCTTTGTTTTTCAATTCCTAAATTATTTCACAGTCTCAGAATCCAACACACAAGCACTTAAGAAGGGTAAAACCTACTTTGCAGCTCCCCTGAGGTCGGTTACGTTTCTTGTTTTCCCTCTTCCATCTTTGAAGGTAGTCTGATTTGCCACAGCTAGCACACCACTCTTCATGGAGAAGTCCAGGAAGCATCTCTTAAGAACTATTCAAAATACCAAAAGAAAGCAGAAATGGAAAGCAATGGAAAAAGGAAGCAATGGAAAAAAAGACAGAAACTATGGGTAAGACAGAGAGAGGAGGAGTTTATAAAAGAGAGAGACAAGGACAGACGTTCACATACTCATTTATGTTGCCCTGCTCTTTGCTGCACCAAATCCTTGGTTTCATTCCAAAGGGAAGAGTAGGTCAGTCCTCCTACAAGCTGTACGTCACCTTTATCTACTGGTTCTGCACTTTCCTTATCAGGATCCAATAAGCACTGATGCCTGGGCTCAATATTCAGTCTGCAATATCTACTCCCCCACTTATTCTCAGGAAACACTTAACTAACATTAACTGATTTTCACCTCTGGCTCTAGGCAAAAAGAAGGTAAGAACTTCTTTGCAAATGATTTTCTGTCTTTTGGGTCAGTACATCATTTTTCATACAGATTTTTAATTCTTTATCGCTTCATCCATTATTTTCTCTTTTTGACAGCCTGTGCCTGCTTTACACAATCTCTATTTTAAAGCATGGAAAAAAATAACAGCACTTCCTTATTTGCATGAGCTTCTAGGTCAGTGACAGACACTCTTGAGCTCTGAGACCTCTGCCTGTCTACTCAAAAGCACCTGCTGACCACAGTGACAAAACCAGCTTTTTGTCCCCTTAATTCCTCTGCTGCCCTCCATAAGCAGCACTATGTGCAGCACTGAAAAGCAAGCTGCCCGGTTAACTGGGCTCAAGCACCACCTGAACTTCAACAGCTGCCCAGAGGAGCTTTCCTACAGTCGTGGCATTTCCTTCCTGCCAACAGGTTGGCTTGGGTTCAGTTGGGTGCTCACATGTTTTGGAAGGAAGAGTTTGCACCGTAAACCACTTCTTATCAGTAATGATTCAAGAGCAAGAAAGAGCTCAGCTTGACCCAATCACACTCCAAGTGTCCATGGATGGCTCTCTAGAAAAAATGATGATAAAGCTTCATACTTTCAAACTGTTTAAAACTGAATGGAGGCCACTGCCAGGTAAGAGCCAGCTCCTCGTGGTCTTGCCACAGAACACTTTTCAGACTGGAGCTGTGATTTCATGTGAACGCTTACAGTCTGCTAAGATGTGTGTAAGAAATAGAACCACTCACAAGGCCTGCTTGGAATGATCATCAAAGGACAATCTTCATCACGTAGAGCTTGAGCAACAGACTGAAAAGGGGAAAACTGGGAATGCTGAATACATAGCAGAATTAACTACGTGCGTTTTGTTTCCCTCCCACTCTGAGGAAATGCCCCAAACTGGACTCTGTAGCCTCCTCCCCAAATTTGATTGCTGAAGCTGCAAGACACATTCATGATGTGAGAATCCAGCCTCTCAATGGGATTTGGGAAAAGACTATTCTTTACTTTTCTAGTGACAAAAAAGAAAAGACCTCTTCACTTTGGATCGGCAGGTAAAGCAGCAATGACTGGGCAATCGCTCCTTGCCTCCCCCTTACTTTTCTCTTAAAGAAGAGTAAGAATTTAACACAACTAACACAGCTTTAGTGCAGGGCGGTTTAGAGATGGGAGAAATCACACAGTACATTTGAGTCCAAAATCAGTTCCATGAAAGACAGACTTCTTTGCCTAGCTAAATTACTGAGGAGCTCTACATAACAGGAGCCTTAAGAACTGGTTTGAGACACTCTGCTCGACTGCTGCGGGGTACTTAAGTACTAAAGGATACTTCTCACAGTACTGCAACCACATGGGTAGCTGCAGATACTCTTTAAGGAAACAGTAATCACTTAAAGAGTTAGGGAGGTGATGTGCATACAAGACCTTCATCCCCGACCAAATCACTGTCAAAGCGTATGTATGGGACAACTCCTTCTACGGTGAAATCAGAAGAATTCAAAGCTTTGCTGTAGCTCAGTAAAATCATGCTTATTACACATTGCTTGAAGAAACAAAATGGATTCCATCTCCTCCTGATACACACAGACCTTGTGAGGACTCTTAAAAGCAGGTCTGCAGAACTGCTTCAAGTAATTCCACTGATCGGGTTTGTATCTGTAGGAAGCCTGAATATCAAGGTAGGTCACAAACCTGCCTGGGCACTGTGAGACCCAAGCTGTAAGAAAAGAAGACACACTGGGGGTAGAGAAGGGTAAGGAAAGTCAGTGCAATCAGAAAGCAAGAAAAAAGGCCACCTGCCAAACCGCCCTGTTCTATGGAATTGCCTTCAGTAATGCTTACTGCAGCATTTGGAAAGGGACACAATGCATTTGCCAGTGCATTTTGAAGGGTATGAATTTTAAAATCAAACAAATGTACGTCTAGTTCTTAAGCACCATGACTAAGAGGCATCTTTCCCTCCTGAGCAGCTATTTCCATGCAGAAGTGCTCTGTTGAGATCAACGGATTCACTTAACTCTCACAATTCAGGATTTAAAACCACTGGGAAACAGAGATAAGCAAAGCAAGCCGCTCGGCAGGTATCCCAGGAAGGTGTGCTTACAGCTGCCTGCTCCCAGACCTCTCAGTCTCCTCTCTACTGGAACTGCCTAAACACCAGAAATAAAACCCCAAGAGCTTCTCCTTCGGGTCTTTTCTGTTACTTGGTGCATGTTGAGAACAACGAAGAACCAGGCAGCAATGCTTTAGGACTACTCTTGCTCCAAGGTGGAGAAAAGAATTAATGATCCAAACTTGGGTACTTAGAAGCTGTGCCATTAGCGATGCCATCTGTAAGCTGCGCTGATCCTTTACCAAAAAGATTCTCTGAATGATGAAAACAACTGCATTTACTGTGAGGGTGGGGAGGCCCTGGAACAGGTTGCCCAGAGAGGCTGTGGATGCTCCATCCCTGGCAGTGTTTAAGGCCAGGCTGGAGGGAGTCTTGGACAACACGGTCTAGCGTGTGGTGTCCCAGCCTGCGGCAGGGGAATTGGAAGTGGATGATCTTAAGGTCCTTTCCAACCCAAACCATTCTGTGATTCTGTGAAAAGAAAATGGCAGGCTCCCTACGGGGAAAAATCACGCATGAGAGAGAAACACTGTTGGGTTTGCACATTTGGGATGAGGCTTTGCAATATTAAGGTTTTGTAATACTAAGACTTTGCAATATTGGGGGGCTAAGCCGGTGCAAACTGCTGCTGTAGTTAAGCAGTAAGTTGGGGTACCATGTGCCTGCCAGAGAGTTATGAAATCAAACCCTAAAAGGAGAGAAAGAAAGAAGTAAAAGGAAGGGGTGTACGAAACTGAGTAAGGGGAGGTGTAACCAGAGGTGGGACAGTTAGCACGTAGATTATACACATCAGAGAGGCTGTAAACCTTGGAGTCCCCAACCAATGGGGTAACAAGGGAGGGAACTTGAGGATGGGAAAGGAAATACAAATCAAAGTTCTGCCTTTGCTGTGTGTGCCTGCTTGCCAGGACACCCGTTTGTGCACAAACGTTAAATAAATGGCTGCTTCACCGCTGTGTCTGACCGAGGCCTGCCTGAACCTAGAGACTGCTTCTCACCCTTCAACTTCTCAGACACCAAAACCCACGACCCATTCCCTCAGCAGGAGGCTCACCTGAGACTCCAACTTCTCGCCGCCTTCCTTTTTCTGGGACGCTGCTCTGGGAGGGGCACTTTCCCGCCTGACCTGCTGGAGGCTGCTGCTTCTCTTCTCCCTGCTCTTCACTGGCATCTTCCGCACTGCTTCTCTGGGCTCGTTTCTTCCCCTTTCTCGGAAGAGACAATCCCCTGCAAGAAAACGTGTTTACAAAAACCAGCACTCACAGCGACTGCAGCCGTTGGCGAGGGCCTGTGCTTGAGCTACGGCAGTAACTAAGAGTCACCTCAGTGCAGGACGCGACTCCGTGACGAAGCACGGAGCCTCACACCTGCACAGACAACACATGGCCAGGAGCCTGTCCACAGAGCACCAGGACAACCCAGACTGCTTCTCTGGGCTCGTTTCTTCCCCTTTCTCTTCTTTACCCGTCTCTGCCAGAGACTCTTTCTCCTTCTTCACCCTGGCAAGCAAAAAACGTTGACTTCCCCAGAAACAAGGCCTGGAAACACATGGCCAGGAGCCTTCATCCTCAAATAACTTCCTGTGACACCACACTCATTTTCAGCCGCACGCAGGGACCAGGAAGGTCATACATATTTTGTACTGCAGGGTGCTGTACGCGTAGCCTGTGTACCGGGCCATCCACAGCTATCTCATACATTAAAAGCGCTAGGATTGAAAGGGCATTTGTAGAGCTTTAATGAGAGAAACTCCGTTTAGTTTTTAGATGGCATAAAATTACATGAACAAGCCCTAGATCAACTGCTCCCACATCTAAAGCCTTCAGCTCGATGACCAGGGTAAATCAGCAGCAGGGCAAATAAAGGTTCTGGCCCTTCTCAACACACTGAGACTTGAAATGGAAATGGTACAATGGGCTGCTGAAAACCACACTGAGAGCAATGGGTGGTGGGACTTTCAAACACTGGGATGCACTTAGCAAAGGCCACCTGCTTGCTCAACACCAGAGGATCTGCCAACAGGGCTGACCCAGCCCAATTACAAATTTTACATACCATAGAGGGAGATGAAGTTCCTGGGGTGCACATAAAGGATGTGCTGGGGCAACCAGTCTGGGTTATTGCCCATTCAGGCAAAAGAAAACCCGCTTGTGGGACTGCTTTTGCTCAAAGAGCTGGGGGCATTTGGTGGGTATTGCGGGAGGGTGGGGAAGTCCGGCGTGTACCTGAAGGAGATCTGATTTGGGGTGAAAAGAGCCAGGGAATTGAACTTTATGATGCTGTGTAATACTGAAATCCGTGATCGCTTCCATGGCGGCTGAACACCCCACTGTGCGGAACACCTTTGTGGCCCCCATCCCACCGCTGTGGGTGTGCTGAGCTCTGAACCTGACTCACCTTGATCACCATTAATGAAGAATGGACTTTGATCATTTGGGAAGAAACTCAAACTGGACAAGTGTCGCAGTGATGGAATCGGAACTGGCTTCAGCATCCAACAGCCCAACACCCCACACCATCCATCTTTCCTGCCTGGAGACACTGCTATGGCAGATGGAGCCAAGGGAATGATAACTCTATGTGTGTGTGTGTATATATAGGTATAAGTCTCAAAAGACAGGAAGGATGACAGTGGGAAGTGTGAGGCCTGGCATGACATAAATGGTATGGAATAAGGGGTGGATACTGTCCTGGTTGTGGCTGGGACAGTGCTCGTTTGCTTTCTAGTACCTGGTGCTCTGCTGCGTTTTGGCTTTATTCCGAGAGCAATGCTGACAACACACTGACGTTTTAGTTGTACATAAACTGGGGGGAGTTATCTGGAAGGGAAGGATCACTGCTCGGGTCGGGCTGGGTATCACTCAGCGGGTGCTGAGCAATTGTATTGGGCATCACTTGTGTTTATTGGCTTGGGTTTTTTTTCCCTTTTCCTTTTTTTTTTTTTTCTCTTCTTGTTATGTCCCTTATCATTATTATCACTATCACCAGCACTAGTACATTGTGCTTCGGTTATTAAACTGTTCTTATCTCCACCCTCGGGTTTTTCATCCTTCCCTTCCTGCTCCCATCCCGCTCCAGGAGCCAAAACCCGGCTCAGAGACCCCGACACCTCTGCCCCATCCCCCCCCCCCGGGGTGCCGGGGATCGGCTGCCCCAGCAGCACCTCCCCCCCCGGGGGGAAACAGCCCCCAGGGCCCCCCACAACAGCCCCGCTCCATCCCCAGGGCCGGAAAGGTGCGGGACCCCCACAGCTCCCAGCCCCCCATGCCCCGGCTTCGCAGCACCCCACACTCCCAGCCATCTCGCAGCCCCACTGCCCAGCGCTCGCACCCGCCCCCCGCATTCCCCCGCAGCGCCCGGCCCCACTGCCCAGAGCCTCGGGGGGCCGCAGACCCCCAGCCCCGCTCCCCGGGCTCTGCAGCGCCCCCCAGACCCGCGCCGCGCCCGCTCACCCTCACCTCCTCCCGCTCTGCCGCCGCCATTGCCGGCTGCAGCTCCGCCTCACGCCCTGGGCCCGCCTCCGCCGCAGCCAATCAGCGCACGGCTCCCCCGCGCGGGGCACGCTGGGACCTGTAGTCCGGCCTCCGGCACATGCGCATGGGGCAGGGAAGGGGGGGCAGCGGGACCCCCGTGAGGGGCGGGGCCTTTCCTCATGGAGGAGCCGCCCCCCATGGGATCCCAGAGGCACCGGATGGGCTGGGGTGAAGGGACCTTAAAGCTCCTCCAGCTCCAA